ATTAGCGTAAGCAAAATATTCTTATAGCAAATACATAATTAGAGTACAGCAAACCACTAATTCGTTTATAGACAAACATCTACATTGAACATTGAGCATTGAATTGTTTTTTTTTAACATTGTGTTTTGAATTGAGTTGTTGTAGGAAACATTGATTGTTTCCTAACGTCGGTGTCAAATCGTAAAAAAGTAAAACATCCAAATTACATAGTTTCTTAGTAGCCTACCACTAAAGGTAAAAAAAGACTGACGTAAAATAAAAATCAATACTTCTTTTAAAACATAATCAGTTGACAAACCATTTTGGGACCTTAGACAACAAATAAAACAGTTCAGATATCGTAACCATAAACCACAAAACCTTGTATCAGTGAAAGAGTTATCAATGTCTGCAATCATAAGGTCTTAAGGTTAACATCGGGAAAACTGACCCAGCTATCAGTAATTATTTCGTTTACAGATTGCCAACATAGTCATAAATCCAATGACCAATATTAGTCACAGTGGTTTCTATTGATGGGATAATGAGGTCGGTCATTTAACTAGTGATATTTAACCAATGAGTGACACATTTAATACACTTTGTACAAGATCATTGACAAATTAATAGGCTATCGTTCATAAACAGTTGCAAGCATCAAAGGTCGGATTTTGTCATACAAATCCCACTTTCTTTTTTATCGACTTTTGAAATTATGTAATCTGAGTAATACTTTTTACTGAGAATTATTATTGTTTCTAGACAACCCCTGTCAATACTCGGAAGATTCAGGTATCTGCACTTCGCATAGTAGCGTCTTATTGTCAGCACTCTGCATACCAGACAGTGCGTCAACTTCTCATACTTACAATCACACCTCCCTGCTACCCTGTAAGAAACGGAGACTTGGCTAATCTCACGAGTATCGCTTTATCTCGTATTGTCTCGTATTATATCTAGCTATATCAAGGTATGATAATGTTGGGGAGGGTTTCAGATTTTTCTGAAAAAGAATTAATCGAATTTCCAAACGAAATAATTAATTCGTGACCACTCTCCGATCGCCGATCCGATCATGGCGGACTCTTTGTATTCACGCTAAAATTCAATTCGGCTAAAAAACAAACTTAGAAAATTATTGCTATACGAGATAAGCAAATAGCTGAATGCGTTTCGGTGTCTAATGACTGAATGATTCATGTGGATTGCTGTTCTTACAGTTAAATCGTCAAGGGGCTTAGCAAACGTTCTTCGGACATTGAAACTTGACAGAAACGCATTTGTGTGTTCCTTGTTGCAGCAAACCTATGCACTTGTTGGGCTCTTGATATTTATTTTTTTAGGCCCCGGGACTAACACGTGTAGTAGTGTACCTAGTTTGCTGTATTTGTTTGATTGAACTGAGTTATTTTTGGTATCAGTGTAATTTATAACTGGCAGTACTAATACTGGATATACTTGGCAGTTACTAGTATGCCAAAGTATATTCAAAAACTGTATCCAGTTAGATTCCGGGAAACTGCTGAACTCTTCTTTTTTGTACACGTGTTGACAATGATAATTCCAACAAGTATACACATTATATTCAGAAACAGACACAGAATTTATCACGAAAGTATATTTCGCTAAATAATATTTTTGGAAACAGCGGACGAAAATTTTTAAGCTAAGGAAAGTCGTGACTTCGTAAGTATTAAAAAATTATAAGTCTTAAGTTCGATTTTTGTAAAGTATCTAAACTGAGTAAAACACGTCTGACACTGGTCTAAGGCTTATTCGGAGACCTAGACTAATTATTGAGTAACTAATTCAAGTATCAATAGATGTTGATTTCTGCTCTATGTGCGGGTAATTTTGGCATTGGCCATCGAGGTTTCGATGCCAAATTCGAGTTGGCAGCCCCCCTCGAACCAGAACTACGAGGGCTATTGTTTTTGAACCGGGCTTCATAAGAGTACATTGGAAATGTATTCGCATAATGATTATGAAGTTCCAATAAAATACTCACAAATATCAGCAAACGAGATAAAAACAGTTCTTTCAGTCTTTAGGTTAGATAAATGTTTCACGCTTCAAAAGTGAAAACTTTTGTTTCATGATTTGTTTCATTGTTATGGGTAGATAATGCTGGGTTAGATAGGGCTACGTTAGATTCAGATGCCTACGATATTAACCAGATTTGCTCGGAGGCTGTCACAGGACCCACGACGGAAATCTGTCAGCATAATATGATCATGACCTCTTGCGTTGGCAGCTTTTTTCTAAAACAGGCTTATCGTCTTCTATCTAATTGAGCATCATAAAACGACTATAAATGATCAGTTTCCTTATGTTTCGTACGTTTATCTGTATGTAAAACTTTCAAAAATACAAAAGATTCACCTCGTAAACGTTTTTTACACATATATTTGAAATATCTCTATGGGTTTCTTTGATGGTAAATCGGAACGGCTACGAAACTTTCATTACTAACTGACTCATTAAAACGTGTTCGCCAAACTATCCCCGTTTATGTACAACTTCTAGCTTGCCTTGTAATTAAGAAATTATGTCATTTTAGGTTTTCATGTTAAAATATTTCTCCTTCCAACAATATTTTGTACAGAAAGTTCATTTTTATTAAGTGAAATAAACGTGCTGTGTGTTTATCTAATATATAAAATTCTCGTGTCACAGTGTTTGTCTGCAAACTCCTCCGGAACGACTTCACCGATCGTTATGAAATTTGGTGTGTAAATTCTATAGGTATGCGAATCGGACGTTAACTATTTCCCGTTTCGAATTTCTTAAAAGGGCTCCGCCCCAGTGGCTCTGGAGTTTCCCATGTTAACCTTATGAGAAATGGAATTAATGAATCTTAACAGCTGTTTCAATTAAACAAGTTGGTTCTGCTCTATGATGTTCAATAGCATTAAAGTTACAAGGATTACCAACAGGGTGCAGCACTATTATTTCTTTTACATTTATGACAACAGCTAGTTTGCAACCAGAAGGTGAGTGAGCGTAGCGAACGAACCTGGAGGCGAATTAGCGTAGCGAACGAGCTAACCTGAAGGCAAGTGAGCGCAGCGAACGAGCTCTAACCTAAAGGTGAGTGAGCGTAGCGAACGAGCTCCAACCCAAAGGTGAGTGAGCGTAGCGAACGAACTTCAACCTGGAGGCGAGTTAGCGTAGCGAACGAGCTAACCTGAAGGCAAGTGAGCGCAGCGAACGAGCTCCAACCTAAAGGTGAGTGAGCGTAGCGAACGAGCTCCAACCCAAAGGTGAGTGAGCGTAGCGAACGAACTTCACCCTGGAGGCGAGTTAGCGTAGCGAACGAGCTAACCTGAAGGCAAGTGAGCGCAGCGAACGAGCTCCAACCTAAAGGTGAGTGAGCGTAGCGAACGAGCTCCAACCCAAAGGTGAGTGAGCGTAGCGAACGAACTTCAACCAGGACGTGATTGAGCGATGCGAACGAGATCATCTTGAAAATTAAACGTAACGGTACTTAAATTATAAATAGTCAAAGGCAAGACAACGTCTGCCGGGTCGGTCTGTCTTAGGGGAAACCTATAACTTAGGCGATACGAAGTTCGCCGGGTCAGCTAGTAACCAAATAAATCTATGTAGGCTATACTAATTGCAACCTAAGTGAATGGTTATCAAGTGTACTTTTGTTGATAGGTAACTAAAATTGTTGACTAAAGTATTGAACTTTTTAGCATTATAGGTATTTGGTCTACTCCTATTTTTTTTTCCAAAACGAACCGTAAACAACTAATGAACACATTTCCCTAAACTTAACCTATTTAGTAGACCGATTTCATGGCTGCTGCTATCAACATTTTATCACACGTAAAAATAAAACATTTAAAATACGCGAATTTAATTACATAAAATGGTATGTAAAAGAGAAATAAATAAATAAAATACCAAGTTATTCATAGGAAATAATACAAAATCTTTTTCATTCCAGACCTAACTTTGAAACAAAAATATGACGAAACGTCATAATCATTAACGAATTGACCTATTGGAAAGTAAACTATTACCGCAGTCCACAAATATCAATATGCGAAAACTGCTCAATACTTTTGATTTCAAAGTCCCTAGAAGCCAAACCTCCAATCCTAAATATTCCCCAATTCCTAAATAATCCAAACCGCCATGCCACAAAGTTTCAGAGGTGTTTGTAAATATTAGTTTTGTAAAAACTGTATATAGTAATTAAATTGACGCAATCTATTCTATAATGTTGGTCAAAGATGAAGACAGTAAGTATTCAAGTAATCCGGAATCCTAATGTTGGTAGTAACTGTCAACTTATGTTAACTGTTAACATTTTAAGAGGTTTATTAGCTAGCTATACAATATTTTGTAAATAAAATACATTGTTTGCATAATGTATGGATTGAAAATCAAGAAAGATTTTTATTAAATCTGTATGTGTTTTTGTCATTCAAAACGTCAACCAGATCTACCTGTCATGCTTACGGTAACTTATCAAACAAAGGTAATATTTAGTACTTTTGGTTTACTTATTTGCTATTAACTCAAATGGATGAAAAAAGAAAACAATTTTACCTAAACATCTACGTATGATCTAAATAGCATTAACATTTTACCTAAAATAAAACCAGTGTGAACATAATTGTTATGACTTCCTTGCTTACAACACATAAAAATAAACTTGCTACGGTAAATAAATATTAGGTTTTTAAACAAAAAATCGTCACTATATCTACACTTTTTAATGAATAAAATCATAAAATATTATACTAAGTATCTGTAATTTAATCTGAGAACTATTCAGCTCAGATGCGTTGTTCAGTGATTTACGTTTGAAAACTTATAGAGTGGCGTAAAAAGTCACCCCTATTGTGAATTTTAAGCTAAAGTTAACACCTTGACCTAAACATGTGAATTTATCGGCTTACAGTGGTAAAATCGTGTTCAAGCAATAGTTTAAAGAGACCGGTTTCATTTTAAACATATTTTAACTTAACTTAATTGAACGTAAGTTGGTTCCGTTGTAACTGACCTGCGATAAGTACAAGTTGAATCACCGACAGCATCGCTGGCAACTGACTGACCATTGCTCTCCCTCCCCTCCCCCGGCAACCTCCCCCCTTCACCCCCTAAACTCTAGACCTTTTCATCTCCTATTAACCAATTTTCATCTCCCAACGCGGAATCTCTACATAATTAACCGTCGCCTAGGCCGATTTGTATTTGTTCGGTCCGGTTCTGTCGCACTGTAGAAAGATGGCTCCAAGCCAAAACTGGCGTGACATTGGACATTGGGGCAAGATGTAAATAAACGGTGAGAACTATCTGAATAGATAATGCAAGAGATGGCCGAGGAGTAAATGTCTGTATAAAGAGGTGATTTGAGTATTTCACACAGATCTACAGTCATGAGGAGGACTTTTGGCACTTTGTTGGTACAGTCTTAGAAATGTTGGTCATTATGTTTCTAATTATTTATTTAAGTAATAACGGTTGAATCGTTTTTAAAGTGCTACAAACATGCTCCATGTAGGAATGACATGAAACTGTTACTTATAGTTATGATTTTCCAAGTTTATACAAAATAATTATCCGCATTTCTGTAAATGAAATACATTTTTTATAGATCACTAGCTGGCCCGACAGACGTCGTCCTGTCCTAATGTGGCTTTATGTCAAATGCTCGTTCATTTTCAAGATGAGCTCGTTCGCATGGCTCAATCACATCCTGGTTGAAGTTCATTTGCTACGCTTACTCACCTTTAGGTTGTAGCCCGTTCGCTGTGCTCACTCGCCTTCAGGTTAGCTCGTTCGCTACGCTAACTCGCCTCTAGGTTGAAGTTCGTTCGCTGCGCTCACTCACCTTTTGGTTGCAAATTAACTGTTGTCATAAAAAAAAAAAAAAAAAAAAAAAAACAGTGCTGCACCCTGTTGGTAAACCTATTAACTTTTTAATGCTATTGAACATCCCCATAGACAAAAAGAATTACAGAATCAAATTGTTTAGTTGAACCAGCTGTTAAGATTCTTTAATTCCATTTAAATATGAGTACTCATAAGGTTGACATGGGAAACTCTAGAGCCACTGGGGCGGAGCCCTTTTGACGGATCTGCACCAAACTTCACACAAACCATCCTTGAATATATATCCTTTATATCCTTTATTGGTTTGCTAACTATTATCAAGTTATTATGTACAATTGAACCTACTTTACCTATGTAACTTCTGTATTATATTGCCTTTCTCAGATGATTTGACATGGCTGCTGTAACATATTGTACATAAATTATTATTCTAAATTAAATAAAAAAATTAAATTAATTAAATTCTGAATTATTATTCTATTTTCACATTTAGTAAAAATGATAAGCGTTTCTCTACCCTCTAAATTATTGCATGCAGCTGGAAATTGGGGATTTTGATCTAACACCAAATTGAGTCTAGAAAGTGAATTTTGTCACTGACAGTGAATAAACCGACACTGGTGATTATCGTTACAGTTCTTGTGGTAATTTGGGCAAAGTTTTCAATTAAATTATCGTTCGTCTCAATTTAATAGCATTTTCAGGTTAAAACTAAAAGAGTCGCAATGGTAATTTTGAATGGTAACGTTTGAATCGTAAAGGGTATGATGTAAAACTAGATATACACTATAAACTCGATGTGAAGCTAGATGCAATAGTCACAATAGAATCGTACGTCAAGTGTTAAACAAGAACAGGAAATAATGTCAAAAATGCTGAATGAATTAAATACCTATAAGGTATTTGAATCTTACGAATAAAAAATAGTTTGAAGCAAAAATATTTTTCAAATTCTATCTATTAATTATACACTGAAATGCGTTTAGCGTTGTATATCTCTGTAACCAACACGTGTAAAACAAAAATAGACTAACTTACTAGCCTATGCTTGATTTTGGATAGTGCCTTTGACATTTCATACAATGAGACATGACATACCACTCCCACTTGCCATATTTAAGCTGTAGTCAGTTTTAGGATAAACATAAACATAGCTGAACTGAGCCGCCGACGGAATTATTGTCAAATACGCCCAAACTAAAATCAAATTTAAATACCACTTTGTAAACTATAACATCTTTTTAGGTATCATCAACCACCATAGTATCAAAAGCGAATGGACAAAATATAATTCTGATTGTAGCACACTCTCTGAGTGGTTCATCATATTTTAATAAAATATCCACTACAGATAGTCCATAGATGAGACCAAAAGTAAAGTCAATGACATATAAATCTACTGATAACTTCTGACCGTTCGTCATAAGAACCCCTATCAATTGCTTGTAACATTTAAGATAGAGGTGGTCAAAAGAAGCCTGGACGGCAGCCAGAGGCTCGCTCACGCCAAATTTGAGATTAATCACTCGCCTATGAGTGCCGCGGACCTTCTCACCCGGGGCAGGAAATCACCTCTTTGTACCGAATAGCTAAGCGTGTCCAACGCCTGACGTAATTGAAAAGGCTATTGTTTGATGTGCTACTGATTTTCGCTATCCGAATCAGCTTAGTACAGCAGAAGGCAGTAGTTTTCATGTTCATTTAATGTCAAATGACAGTCAAATTAGTTTGACGACATCTTGACGAACGATTACCGAGTTATGTTGGCAAGCTAATAGGAGAAAGTATGTGTCAGATTACTGGTATCAATTCTTTTATTAATTTATATAATCAGTTCATAAAAAAGTAATCAATATAATTTAAGAATTAAACACATTTTGACTGTTGTTCATTTTAATTTCACTGTTTAAAACTATACATTGGTTGTACTGGATTGGTTACCGGTACATTTTCACCGTTTTCAAATATCTATTTTACTAACTTCAAGATTTACTTTGAAATAAAATTATAGTGTGACCCCTGATGTTACATCAGGGGGAGTAAAGTGCACAATGGATTTATTTATAATAGCACAACAAATATTTATTTACAATGGAATTTTTTATAAAAAGAGTACAGTACAATCAGAATTTAACAATTATTTTTAGACTAAAAAAATTGGAATCATAGCTCCATCTTCAAATTTCCTTGCTGACCGCCATTTCTTTTTAGTCCGTCTCATAAACATACTGGTTGCCCTTAAAACTACACAAATTGTGCTTGATCGTATCCAATTAATTACCAAACTGTATGGTTTTTTTCCATTTTTCTGATTATGTTTCAGCCATAACTCTTAAAAACATTTGGAATTTATTCCCAAAAATTCCACCAACACTAACTTGTGACAAGAGGAGTAAATGATGTATGTAGTTGTTCGCAAGCTGTTGTTACTTTCTTTTCTCATCTTCTGCTTTTTTATAATTTGTTGATGAGGGATGGAGACGTAAGGAGCATCAGTGTCAACGACATGAAAATCAAACAATAATTCCATCTGATTCTCCCATACGCCTCTACAAGATAAATTAGCTTTTAGGGCAGGTTCGTTTTGATGACTGACTTCTGCTATCAAGGGCTCTTTAATGCAGTTTCCCCAGGCTTGTTCCATCATGTTACCTATTGTGTCTCTTACTTCGTTGTTCCTTTCCTCCAATCCAACATATAAGAGCATGCTCTACACACTGAACCCCTTTCTGCATCCCTCGCACCTTAAAGGGAGGTTTACATTTGTTTTCCCATAACGTAGAGCAAGGGCATCCCTAAATTATCGTGGGGTCATGTCCAGATTAAGTTTCTTCAGAGGCACGCATGATAGCCAGCACCCATGTTTTCCATGTTCCATGTTTGTAGGTTCTGCATTGCGCATTATAATTTTCTGCCGGTTTTCTGAAAATGTTTCCAAATGCTGTCTGAATAATTGTTCTTCCATGGATTTCTTTTACTCCTTTTTCCCGTCAAGGAAGCTCACCCGATCTCTTGGAGCGTCTCAATTGCTTGCTTAACGCAGATTCCACTATCTCGAGCGAAATTTCGCTATCCAACCCCGCTTCTCTCAGCTTTACTACGACTTCATAAAGGATTACATCTCTCTGGACCATATGTCAAGATTCCCTTCTTCTCTCTTCACACTACTTTCTCACTCACCGGGGTTCTTAAAGAGAGTAGTAGTACAACCAAACTCCGAACAGTATTTGATGCTAGTGCAAAAACAAGTACATGTGTTTCTCTCAATGACATTCTTCTTACTAGACGCAAGCTTCAATCCAATATTTGTGACATACTTCTCCAAAATAAGCATGACTGATCCACCCGAATACAACGTTTGAAACCATTTCTTGACTCTGATAGGTTTTTGCGTATTGGTGGTCGCCTCAAAATTCATCACTACCTTCTGATGCTCAACATCCATTGCTGCTATAATCCATAATATATTATACCTAGGAAGCATCATATTGTTGACCTGCTAGTGGACCATTTCCATGTCACACATCTCCACTCTGGACCTCAACTCACTCCAGCTCTGATCGCTCAATCCGTCTGCATTCTTTGTGCATGTAGCGTTGTTCGCTCACGTATATTCAAGTGCGTTACATGTTTCCGAAATAAACCACGCAACAACACCCCGCTGATGGGTGATCTACCCTCCTCTCAAATCACTCCTGTTCGGCCATTTCTCTCTACAGGAATCAACTACTGCGGACCCTTCACAATTAAAAACTGAAATCTCCGTTCTGTAAAACGCGTAAAAGTGTATCTGTGCATCTTCATTTGCATGGTGACCAAGGCTGTCCACCTCGAAGTAGTGACAGATCTCACCATCGATGGATTCTTAGCAGCTCTAACGCGCTTTGTTTCCCGCAGTGGACTTTGTGCGGACATTTATTGTGATTATGGCACGAATTTCGTCGGTCATGACAGTTCTCATTCTTTCAGAATTCATCACGCTCACCACGCAAGTTGAGGCCATGCTTAATTCCAGGCCATTAACTCCGCTCTCAAGTGATCCAGCTGACCTTTCAACCTTAACTCCCGGTCACTTCCTCATTGGAACTTCACTGGCATCCTTTCCAGAGCCTCACGTCATAGATGTGCCAACAAATCGCCTTAAACATTGGCAATTAGTACAGATTTTCTATCAACGACTTTGGAAACGATAGAGCTTGGAATACATTCATACACTTCAACAACGCTCAAAATGGTGTAAAAATTCTCAAAACCT